GCGGCGTCGCGCGGCGCCAGGGGCCGCGAGCGCAGGCTGAGCGGCGCCACCTCCGAGGGCCACACGCCCAGCCAGCGCGCCGCGGGCAGCGCCAGCCGCGCCGACTCGTGCGCCAGCGCCTGCCACAAGAAGAACGCATTCGAGAGAGAGGGGTTCCTTGGTTTCTGGCGCGGCAACCGCTATGGTCAGTAGTTTCGTAAGTGAAGTGCATGCTTTTTTATCGCGAGAGATGGCGGTGTTCTTCCCCCGCTCGATGGAGTCAGCCGGCACCTTCCCACCACCTTGGGCGGATCTCCAACGAGGAATATCCCACCAGCTTGGCACCGCTTAGCCGAGGACAGCTCTAAGTTCCCGACCTATGTGATATTCTAGTGCATGTGAGTGTAAGTGGGTGTGTAAGGGGTGAGGATAGGACAAGGGAGAGGAAGGAAAGATCGCGCGCGGTCCGTGGCCTGTTTGCACTACTTCGATATTCGATTGGTGTTGATCGTGGAAACTACGGAAAACTATCGAACAGTAGAATTCTCCTGACTGCGGGCGAATTCTACTCAGACATCTATCTAATGTCGAAAATGTTGCCACCGTCGGAACTCGCCGTAGGTTCTCCCGGTTAGAGAGGCATTGCAAAGGCATCAGTTGTGAAATAAGTTTTAGAATTGTATATTTGTAAGCTAAGTTATATGGCGACAATAGAGGTGGATAGACGGACATGGAAATTGTAGGTTGGAAGAAAGGATTTGAACTTTCAGGGAAAATTAGTAAGACGACATGGGAATTACTTGGCAAACAGTGCTGGCAGTAAATTGAGAGTCGATATGTTAGAAAGATGTAATGGGAATGCGAAATAGGAGTTTTATAAATGAAGAGAAATTGTTAATAAAAATAAGTTATTTACATTATCGTATTTTGTAATTTATAGGAGAACCCTTCTGTTAGGTAAAAACATTATTCTCAGCAGGTACCAAAGATAACTGAAGAATATAACAGTCGTGAGAGCAAGGCCTACTACTTAGGGTAGGGCGGAATAAATCGGAGTATTTTATGAACTGAAAACGCCAGAAAATCACTTATCAAATAGTTAATTAATACTTAAAATATTAATACACGTATTTGTTGATTTCACGCATTCAATAGTACATTACGAATCGATGATGTAATGATGGGTATTAACACACGAGTGTGATATTACGATACGAGCGAGTAAACTTCACACGAGTGTATTACTATCCAAAATGAGTTACGTGAGATACTTTTTCTACGACTTTTGGTAACTTTTATAAGTTAAACTTTTACACTGAATCGTTTCGTAGCGGTTGACAAGCATGATTCAGCCACAGTCACAGAGCAAATAGCTCCATAACCCTACCCGAGCAGGTGGCTTTGGTTTCCAGGTCGCTTGTGAAGGAGTAATGCGCTAGTCAATGAGGATCAAAGTGAAATTACGATCCAATTTATTTTAAATAACGTACTAATAATAAAATAAATTAAAACAGACAAGCATAATATAATATTAAATGCAATTTTAATGTGTACAATCGAACGAAACATTTACTAGATAGATTATCAATGATTGTCAAAACTGGTTTGTCAACTTCTCTGTGATTGGTCAAGAACCTGTTATCATAATGAAATCAGTGTCATTATACAATTGGTAGCAGCCACCAAATGACATAATTATAAATGGCAGTAGAAATAACCGTTAAAAAGATAAGGCCAAATATTTATTTAGATATTTTTCTGTCGCTTATAAAGTTAGCTTCCGAAAATTTGTTATTTGATATTGGTCGAAAGATGAGTTATTCCTAAAGGTTTCATTTCTTTAGACGTGCGTAGTCGCTATCAGAAGATCAATCGGAATAAAAGATTCAGCACAATAATCAACTTCAGCGAAGCCTTTTCCTTGAACGAACTGCCTTCATGACTTCAACATCAAACATGACTTGCGACATCAACCCATACCTTAGTTCAGCATTCTACAACAACTCATATCTACATCTCAACCATCCTCATGTACAACCATCCTACATCGCCTTAAAACCAACGTTCTCCACATCGAACCTAATATTTTACACGTCTTGTACTCAACAGCCTCTTTCCCACTCCTCAGAAGCAGAGCAAGACCCCTACGACTACGACCCCAACCACCGAGGTTCCCTTCAGAGCAGCCCAGCTTCACTCCCCTCCTTTCTTGCCCGCCGGCGCCTCTTCCTAATGTTTCTAGTTCAAATAGCTAATGAGATAAGTTTTTGCAGATGTTTTCGCAGAGCGTGCTTTTTTGCTAACGGTGCGCCCGGGAAGGCCTGGATTCACGCCAGAATAAAGGCCATTCATCTTCGGGGTCTCCGCCGCCCGCGCCCGTCGCGCTGCCTGGCGTTGACTGCGTCAGCCGCCCGACCGCACGCCCGCGATCGGCCAGTCCCGCCTTCCGCCCCGGAAGCGCACTTCAACAGAACGACGCTCCGCGCGACAACGCCCACTTCTCACGACGAAACACACGACAAGTTCCCGCGAACTGCTCCCGAGCGCCAACGGCCCTTGTCAAAAAGAATTCCCCTTTCGGTTAAATATGGTCCGCGGGTTTTTCTTCGGGCTTATGCGGCGTTGTTCCTTCTTCCGCTCTTGTTTGCTGGTGTTAGATGCCATTGGAATCGTCCCAGATATTGTATCCGGTCGTTTGTTGACGGTCATTATCTATACTGCACGTTTCCGCGAAGTATGGGCATGTCGAATAGTAGTATTTCAACCAAGTAACTGCAGTCTGGACATGAAGGATGATAGTCACAAATATTCTTAGTGGAAAATGCATTATACTCTCAAATACTCAACATACACTATTGACTTTTTCTCACTTTGATATTTAAGAAAGCAATTCTGCACTACATGAAAAACAAGTTAAAAAATGTTTAACACTTACACTAACTTGCACTACACTATTGGTAATTGAGGTGAGTTTTCGTTGACATTTCCAATGAAATAATTATATAAGTAATTTCCAAAAATATTATTTATTAAAAAAAGGACTGGGTAGTCGTTTTTGTGGTTTCCATAAAGCAGAAAACGGATGATGATGGCTAAGACATCGAAAGCTGCCTTTTTTAATAAATAATATTGTTGCAAATGACGACTTATACAATTATTTAATTGCACTACAATACCACATATCGGGAATCCAGTAAGGACCCAACTTGTTCCATCAGGGATGGTGCCCCTCCGCGTTGGTGGGAGATACCTGGTTGAGGAAAACCCCGCTAACTGAAGGCATGGTGGTGCTGTGGCAGGAGATCATCGCCTCCCCCCCCCCCCCGAGGAAAAAAGTATGCTTTACACTTGCGACAAATGACCTCAGCAGGTGACGTGCCCAGAATCACTAATCACTTTATTCATGTTCAACTAAAATCTTCTACAGAACACTTTCTAAATAAAAGAAGATGCCTGAAGAAAAAAAAACCGCGACACAAATCAAAATCAATACGTGGTTTAGTAGAAACAAGTTTGAATGCTACTTTGTGGTAATTTATTTGATCTTCTCACCCCCTTTGGGCTCTCCCGTGTTCCCAAGGGGTTCCAATTGCTTACCTTGGAGCCCCACCTGTAGGTCGCCATGATTTCTATGCCGTGCGGGTCGGCGTCCATGAGCAGCAGGGTAGGCAGCCGCAGCAGCTCCCACAGGCGGTTCAACAGCACGCGCACCAGCGTGTCCGGGTAGCCCTTGCCCTGCACGAACGCACATCTCACTAGGCGGTAAAGTTGTGTTCATATGTGGTATAACAGCAGGACATAATCAGGCCGCTAAGACTAAAGAGTCGCGGGTTCGAATCCGGCCCGGGGTTTTGATGTTTGTGTGGGTTCGTGTACTAACGCCGTCACCTTAAAATGTTACTTTCAATAATCGCTATTAACATTAGTAGTTGAAAAGCGACCTTAAATAAGTAAAAAATATATATCACTGCTCACGACTGTAATCAGAAAATATTGTGTTCTTAGAATTAATTTCAAATCTCGGTTTTACAGAAATCTAATTACAAATGGTTAGTACATATTTATTATCAACGTTTGCAACAGAAGATAGAATATTTAAAATAAATATTGCTATTAGTTATTGTACAAATCTGGAATTTATTTTCATTTAAACAGCGCTAACAATCATACAAATATAATGTACAAGAATATCCGATCCTCAACTGATTGCCTTAGAAGATTTTAGGCACAGGCTCTGGAGTCCAAATCTTACATTTTGATTTATTGATGTTCTTTGCTAAATTATCGTATTATTTAAATTAATATTATATGTGTGCTATCATTTAAATAAAAAGTGTAAGTGCAAACATTATGACCTCTGCCTCATCACAAATAAAGACAATTTTATTATTATTATTATTATTATTATTATTATTATTATTATTTATTATTTTATTATTATATTATATTAATATTAATATATTATTATCATGGAGGTGCGAAGGGCTCACCGTGAGGAGGACGCAGGGGCCGACGCGCGCGTGACGCCCTCCTGCAGCAGGCGCTGGAACGCCGCGTCCTTCTCCACACCAGCAGGAAGAGGGCGGCGGTGCGCGCGCCCACCAGCGCGTGTCGCGTCGCTCGCACCAGCGCACTCGCGGGGAAAGCACGTCGCTCGCACGCGCCCCCTCCCCCCCCCCCCGCCGCCAGAGATGCGGGCGGCAGCGCGCGCGCCGGCGCAGCGCGGGTTGACGTAGTGTTCGAAGCCCTCGGGCCAACACCCAGGTGATTCGGGAAAGGGATTCTTTAGTGGCGTTAGAGGCAAATCGCCAGCTGACCGCGCAAGAAACAAGAGAATTCTTAAGCAATAGGCGGGTTTTGTACAGCGACACGTTACAGCAATCGGCAGAGAATGCGCGATTCCAGTGCCACATCATTTTTGTCTGTCTTGCAAAGATTGCAAACTATCGTGCAAAAAGTCGCTGATAATGAATTTCCGAAGCACATTTAAGGCTTTGTATTTTATAGACACCGTAAGTGATCGACATAATTTTGCGTTCTTATTCCCTCACTTACAGGTGTGAGGCTAGGAAGGTTGTACAAATTTCACTCGCAATGGATCCAGAATAAAGACTGCAGTACTAAGATAATGCATAGAGACTTTAAGCACAGAGTAGAGTAAAACAATCGACTGAGATCTAATCCGGACCCGGGTAGCGTAACACCCGGTTGACGTAGTATTCGAAACCCTCGATGCGAACACCACGCCGAGACTCGGGGTTAATTTTTAGGTGCCAAATCGTCAGCTAACACTCAAGGCATACGGGAATTCTCAAGCAAGAACGGATTGCTCAGACACAAAGCTATGTATCTTATGGATACCACAAGAGCTCGTCAAAATTTTTGCATTTTTATTCCCTCACCCATTGGTACGACAGTACAAAGTATTCTCGCAATGGATTCAGAACGAAGGCTGTAGTACTAAGATTCATAGGGACTTAAGGCACAGCGTATATCAATCGATAGAGATCTCGATCTTCTGCTCATGCGCAGTTGCAGTTGCGCAACACGTTTCAGCATCTGCGTATGCGCAGAAAATCCACATTCCTGTCCCTTAACAATGAGTAATAACTTGTCTGTCCTCTTCTTTTGGCGTGATTCTTTGTTAATCACAATATTTTGCTAAAAAACACACATTTTAATTGACTATATAATTCGGTCCTAGGACTTGAATAGGAAGCGTCTTAACATGCCAATGTTTCGATGAATATTTCATCCACTTCAGGTCAATAACATATCTATACGCATTTCTACGTCTTCCCTAATATCACATCTCTTTTATACAAATCTTGACGTGACCATTACATCCGTTCAAGCAATATTGGAGTGGGTGTTCGACATTTTAAGAAATGAAACCGATCAACTGAGTGGGTCCTCTGGTCCCCGAAGCCCAGTCCTCCTTGACCAGCAACTTCTTTCGCACTTTTAGTCAAATGAGAAAAGTTATATTTCATGTGGAGTCTAAGAACCTCAGAATTTTAGAAGCAACATACAACTTTCATTGTGATTTGATGAGCCATATAGAATGCAAGTTAGATTCAACTTCACCATTTTTTTAAATTATGAAGTCATTTATATAGTGCAAAATAAATTTATCTAACACCCATGTTCTTATAATCTGGAAGCAAGGTCGTTTCTTTTAGGTTTTTGTATTAAAAATATGATTGTTCTGCAGTAGTACTCATTTAATTAAACCGGAGAATAATACGTCCTAAAACACCAGCAATAACTCAGTGAGTCAGTAAATGAGTAAAAGGATAAGTTTCTCTCAATATTGTCATAATTCAGCTGTAAATTCAGCACTTTGCAAAACTACGATGGTTTAATCACTTGGAAGATGCACGAATTGAAATTCTTAAACGATTAATCATTTTAAAATGATCATATAGCTGTATGTTCATCTTTGATATGTTCCGTCGATGAAACAAAAAGTATAAATATATAAGATATTAAATAAATATAAATGTATTAAATAAACGGAGAATCGTTATAAACAACGAGTCCCGGAATTATCCTTAGCTGCCCAAGTCGTAATTCCAGACGAAAAGTTCAAAGTACATCCGTACATACGTTCTAATAAAAGTGAAAGAGACCTTTTAGATTGGTCTGGTCGCCTCTCAATTTAATGGCTCCAACTACAATCCAAACGCTGTCAACATGTTGAAATCTACATTCTCACCACCGGGAACATCGCAGTCGATCGTTGCCCCGGATGCCATGTGCAGAACGATTGGCCCAGCAATCAGCCCCTTGCTCGTGGGCAGAATGCGCAGTTCCCAGGGAGGAACTTCCAGAATGGCAGCGGCGTCCAGCACAGCCACGTCAATCGCACTCTGGAACACATCGCAATTACACATTACCGCGAAATACCTTCTTTTTTCGCAACGAGTTACCGTTCGTAACAGGAATTTCATTGTCTGCGAAAGGATCATTTTCTAGAGTTAAAAAAGTAGCACGTCGATTAAACAAAATAAATAAACCGATTGGCAAAATAAACAAATCCGTGCCACACATGAAGCATCCCAACGATATTGTGATTGAATGAAACGTGGGCAGCATACCAGACGCGGCGTCCTCTTTTTTGCTTGTTTGGCAAGAATCCACCAGCTATTAATGTATCATTTTCCACTTGTCCTGCAACATCTTCACCAACCCGCCACATCAGAAATGTGGGTAATTGTTTCGTCTATTAGTCTGCGGCATATAACAACTCTGACCTTTGAGAACCATTATTGAAACTTTAAAAATTTAGTATGCTAGTTAGACTAAATACCATTCAATGTGGAATGAAATATTAATATTGACATAATATGATATTCATCTGAGAAACAAAAATGAAGCTGTGGTTGAAACGAGTACTAAAATATTAGAAAATATAATAAAAGAGTAGCAAAACCAATTGTTTTGGCTAACAGTAACTCTATAGTACTGTATTCATATTTCTGTCATTTACATCTTTCAGTACCTAAAGAACGCTTCTCTTCACCTAAATTGAAATCCTGGTTCAATTACCTGGTTCATTCTCCAGCCTCCCAAAATGTTCGCGACAATTGGTTCGAAAGCTCTCGTCTGCCACAGGATCATTAGCTCTCGCCCAGCGTTACTTCTTTGTTCAACGGTAATTAAACCGGGTTAAATGTGGGGGATGCAGATTGCGGCGAGGTCGCACTGACAGCAGTGGTCAAGAGGCTCATCGCGACCTGCAGATCAAATTTTCTAACGCTCTTACTCAGGTAAAAGAGGGATAGGAATTAAAGGAAGGAAGCAGATTTATAGATGATAAATAGTGAGGGGAGAGTGGGATTCATTTAGTCATTTCGATATAGTCTTTTAATAGAAGCAATGTTTCTTAATGAATTTTCATCAAACATATAATGCAAGTTTCAACGCTGGATAAATAATATAATACGTTGATAATATATTGAAAGATACAATTTCTAACTCGAATATTAAGAAAACCACTTAACTAACCAAATTTACCCCAAATCTCTAAAAGCATAGATATTTTCCCCTTACCATCAATCAGAGAATATTTAAACACAGAAATGGTCCAATAGCTTAAAGAAACAATGTTTTCAATAGCTTTCATCACAAAAATAATTTTTCCTACTGACATTATCAAAATATTTCTGTTCACCTAATGAGCCCCATGTTTAAATGAACCTCAGTCTTTCCTATTGGGAATACTTACAATGCCACAACGCAACTGAAACATCGAAGCTCTATGCGGATGCATATTATCTCACAGACGGGTACTTGGCAGTAATGCGCCAAGTGCTAGGATCACCATGCCGAAGATGAGAATGATGATGACTTATGAATTGACGGAACTGAAGGTGAAACACCATAGACTGGAAAACCCCGCCATGGCACAACGTTAAAAAGTCCATTACGCCACAATTGGAATTCGAACCCGTTCTTCTTAGAGCCAAGAATTCTAATATTTATTTATAAATAAATAGTAATTACGTTTTTCCTACGTTTGTATATCTTAAAGAAATTAGTCTTGCCAATCAGACTAAGTATTGAGTACATCAATAAGATGAGAAATTTTTTAAGGCTGCCGGCGGCCTGTAAAAGAGAAAACAAAAAGAAGAAGAAGAAGAAGAAGAAACTAAAGAACTTCTAAAAAAACCTCAGTTGTCCTCATTGCCAGAACTGTTAACTTTTACATCGTGCAGACCATATTAGCGGTGGCGGTGTTAATGGCAATGGCGGTAGTGAAGGCAGGAGATTTGTTGAGGGGAGAGCCTGTAGCAGTGTGAGTGTCTGAGTGAGAATGGGAGTTACGCGACGGTTGGAGTTGGGGGAGCGATATCGGGGCATTGATACAGAAGCGGTGAGGCGGCGACAGGGAACAACGAGGCGGTAGCGGGTGGCAGAGTGTCGGTGGCGAGTGGTCGGCTGAGCAGTGGAGGAACGGTGGTGGGGAGATTGCACAGTAATGGCTGGGAGGTGTCAGAGAGGTGATGGGACGGGAGGCGGGCAATGCCCGGGAACGAGGTGCGGAGATGGTAATATGATGCAGTTAATATGCTGAGACGACGGCAGATCGGTAGGGTTGGACGGTGCGGCGGCAAGGCGAGGGCAAACGGGTGAAGGGACAGTTAGAGGGCTGGGAACCAGCGGTGAGCGGGCGGTGGGGGCCAGGCCTGGCCGTGGCCGAGCGGGTGGGGGCGGGGTGAGCTCGGACGAGGCAGTGGAGGTGCCGGGGTGAGAGTGTGGCGCTGGCTGGACGGTGTGAGACTCGCGATGCGACGGGGGCCGGGCGGTGACGGGGTGGTGAGTGGGCGTGGCTCACCTGGTCGCGCAGGTCGTGCGCGTGGGCGTAGAAGAGCTCGCGGCGCGTGATGCAGGTGCCCTCCCGCAGCAGGCGCGCGGCGCGGGCCACCACCAGCAGGAGCGCGGCGAGGCGCGGGCGGGCGCGCGCGTCGCCCCAGCTCATCGCCGACCGCTCCGCCCCGCCCTCCGCGCCCGCGCCCGCGCCCGCGCCCTCCGCAGCCGCCGCCCTGCGCCAAACACACACACACACGGGGATGACTGATCAGTGATTCAGGACGAGTCAACTTCTAACATCATTAGTACAGCCAGCGCAGAGCACGTTTTAATGGATGGTGAGATTCGGCACCGATCTACTGTGGGCTAGCGGTATTTTCCCCAAACAGGTATCTCCCACCAGTGGGCACCCTTCAGCCGATACAAGGTCTCCCAAGTGTAGAAGTGCAGTGCATGTAAGTGTAAGTTTATGTAACTGGCGCGTGGGGGAGGGGACTTGATGATCGATTAATTATTTCGTGTTTCCGGGCGCATGAACTGCTATTGTCATTAAACCCTCAGTAAAGGCGATCATCGCGTCTGCTAACGGTATTCCTTCCCCGCTGGATGGTCAGATCTTGCGCCGACCTCGTTCTAGCCGACGAAGTTCTAAGCTCCCAACATGGACGGTAGTATAGTGCATGTCAATATGTGTTGTATATAAGGGTGAGGATAGGATAAGGAAGAGGAAGGAAAGATCGCGCGCGGTCGTCGACCCGTTTGTTAGGGCATTTGTCTGGTATTGATCGGAGAAACCACGGAAATCTACCTATCAGAGCAGCCGACGGCTAGGATTCTCCTCCAGACAGCGCTTGTATTGATTCAGCCCTCTAGCTAGGGTGGAAAATCCTGACACCGTTGGGACGCGAACCCTAGGACTTCCCAAGCACAGACACTACAGTGACATTAGTTAATACTCCGAGTCATCCGTCCCAGTGCACACAAAGTCTGTTATCACATAGAGCGCACTTCCCATTTTAAAGTTCACTCAAGTTCTCTAGTCCACCGATTATAAATCCTCCTTGAGCCGAATCGAATATTTTAGTGCATATGCTCGTGCTTAGTGCTCGTGCATATTTTAGTTGTCCGAGATTTCATGTAATTATCTCCAAATCGCGCGGGATAACACGAAAAATTCTGCACATACGAAACTAAATGCAAACAAATACTTGTTAACACGTGTTTCGTTACTTGAACAGCAGATAGCAGCACGGAGCTCTTGCTGTGACATCACTCCCATTCGAAGAAATCTCTGGTATGCTACGGAATTCTAGAAATATGAAGCCTTTCTTTGAAACGGTTTTTGTTGAATGGCGGAAATCAGAAGCAAACCGCTAAAAAATGAGTCGTTGTTAAATAACTAATTTTTTTCTCAGAAGCAAGCAGTTTTTACATCCCGCCTGCGCACATACATTCTTGAAAATTATTAAAGTTCAGATAGACACTGTGAAACATTATCTGAACTATTCAGGATTATCGAGCGATTTTTGAATAATTGTATATTATCTTGGACACGCATAAATCAATAAAGGGGACCAATGAGAACTTATAATAGCGGAACCAGACACCTGGTGCCAGATTTAAAATGCGAAATGCAATGTGATACACTTGCATGAACTTGCACTTGCTTGAATACTTTACAAGCAACCTCGGAACGACTAATCTAGCCTCAAGGTTTCTTCTCAAATTTAAAACTATTAAATAATATATACTAACCCCATTTCCCTTGTACTATAGAGAAAATTCCTTTCGTGAACTTTATTTTTTTAAATTACAGAAGCAGTTTCCTTTTCTTGAATTCAGTCACCATGTTAGAAAACTGAGTGGTCTAGATTCTGCGTGTCTTTCAGAAAGATTATTAAAAATACCAATTTCCTTTTCCCACTTTTGAGGTGATACATTCGAGTTAAGTGACATATTATTCTTATTAATAAGGTCATGTCTTATATTCAGTGAAGTGAAGTATGGTGAAGAGTCGTATAATGAAGTGTAGTAGAGTGGAGTTAAATGTTAGGTAATCAGTAATAAAAAGAAAAATAAGAACAAAACTTTAATTTAGAGATAATTAGGAATTAATCAGGACCTATCAACTTCTAATTCTAGTTGGTTTGTAATAGACATATAATAGTTTTGTAATTATTGAAATTCTAAATTAATCTTGTTTGCCACAGAGCATTACCTCGAAGTGAATTTTAACGACAGAAAAATCTATCAACTGATAGATTGATCGATAGATAAGCGGATAGATGGCTAGATAGATGTATCGATTTATCAGTCTATCTATCCATCTACCTAGCTAGCTATTGGAGGCACTGTGCGTAAAAGCTCTCCACCCGTCTCCGTCACCGCCCACCCCCACCCGGACCCTTCACCACCCCCCCACGTACGCCGCCCAGCCTGGCTGCGGTGGCCGGCGGGCAGAGCGCGGAGCGCGAGCGAAATAACATCTGCGCGCGTGTGCTCAGCGGCGCTGTTGACTTACCGACCAGCCAGTGTTTAACGCGAAGGCTGATAGTCGCCGTGAAAACAAGGTGGGAGAACGGTCATCACGTTTCTGCCGTTTGGTGACAGGATGGAAAAAGGTATTGATGGAGGACAAGACAAATACGTATTTCATGAGAATAAAAAGCTCAGTTCGATAGACAAAAATGCCACTAATTCAGAAGTTTCGCTTTAAAGGGATGGAAATTCAATTCATTGTGTTTCTTGCATGGTGCGGGTAAGCTAACCCAGATATAGGTTTGAAATCTTAGCACCTCATAGTTTTGTTTATCTTTGCCCTGCCTTTCAGTTCCACAAACAAGAAAACTTGATATTCTCACAAAGCTGGATTTTTTCAAAAATAAAACTAATATAGCAAACCCAAAATACACTATTTCACCTATCACTTCCAGAATTCTGAAGTAAAAGACTGTCGGATTAAGAACGGGAACGGGGCCTTGTTGAACTGGCGATCATGCCTACCACTTCGAAGACTAGGGCATCTGATATTCACCTTCCCCATAAATTATATCTGGTGACGAACAAAATATTTTTTTTCACGCAGCAAATATTTCTTTCAACGGTAACTCTACATATAAAGCAGTGTGAACCTACTTAAAGTGCATGTATTTGAAGCACGAGGACACCGTGATCTTGCCCCACGTGATGGCGAGATCCGATGCCACTCTATCCTTCAGTTTGTGGGCTTTTCCCCAACCAGGTACCTCCCACCAGCGGGCACCGCCCCAACCTGAACAAGCTCTCAGCTCCCGACTGGTGTGGACACACTGGTTTACCCCCCGTGTCGTGGTGTAGTGCACGTAAGTGTAAGTAAGGGGGAGGATAGGGCACGGAAGATGAAAGAAATATCGCGCGTGGTCCGTGGTCCATTTGTTAGGGTACTGCTTCGGCATTCACGTGGTTTTCATCGGAGACACCACGGAAAAATTCCGAACAGAGAAATATTCTCCAGACAGCGGTTGAATACAACCACGCTATGAAACTAGTATGGAAAATCTCGCCACCGTCGTGCCCCGAACCCTAAAACCCCCGATTAGAGGCGGCCATATTGACGCCCGGAGCCATCCACCTGGGCGCGTGGCGGCGCAGCGCCCGCCAGCGGTGCGTGGGCACCAGCAAGGACGGGGCGCGCCCGGCGGCCGCGTCGCGCACCAGCCCCAGCACCAGCGCCTCGATGCGCGCCTGCAGCGCCTGCACCTCGCCTCCCCCGCCACCACCGCCGCCGCCGCCGCCGGCGCCAGGGTGCTCGGCCCGCAACGCCGCTGCCAGGCGGAGCGCCCCCTGCGGCGCGGGCCCTGCAACACACACCGCGCGCAGCTGCTGCTGTAGTCCGTTCACGCCAGTAGACGAGGTTTTGACAGCTTTTAAAACAATTGAGCATCATCGTGCGAAATGTTCTCCCGTCATGTGTATGGGCTGGAGTGTGAGGTAGAAGTGCCTCTAAGTGTCAGTTCAGTGCTGGTAGTTGGAGGACAAGGATAGTTTTCACGAGTGCCTTATTTTGTTCCAATATCGTTCCTAAAAGTAATATTGTAAGAATTTATACAAATCGCGTCGGAAAGCATATGCGAGTATATATGGGTGTGAATTAAGTTATAGAGCGGATGTAAACCAGCAAGTCATAAAAAATTCGAATTTCAAAGAGCCCGCGTTCTTTATTTTCATCACGCGTTTCATTAAACTCGCAATATACTGATCATATAATTATGCATGCAATTGCACTGAATTATGCAAGTAATCAGAATTTCTTAAAAAAAGTTCTAAAACTTGCTCTTCTTGCATTTTCACTACATAAGCACAAACATCATGAGAACATTGCCCAGTTGACATAATGAAGAGACTAATAGTGAATAAAATGGCTCAAGCACAAGTTAGCCAACGTTTGTGAAATGTAAGTGAATCGTTTTCACGCGTTAATCAACAGACGCGCTCCTCTTTGGTTTCGAATCAACGAATGTCAAGAAAATTACTCACATGACTGAATTCAGGATAAACTTCCACAGTCCATTCACAAGATGTTTACGTCAACAGCGTACTCAATTACACCTCCCGGGCGTTTATGTAGCAGCCATCAAGACTAAGGGCAGGAGATTAAACTGCACGCGGGGGGAGGCTCGGAGAATGACTGGCGCATGCGCCCTGCACCGCTTGGGCCTGCTTTCCATCCCCCTGCGTCAATTCACGTATAATATGTGATGGACAATTGAAAGGCTTCGGAGTAAAAGGCGGTAACACTCGGTAAGTTATAGTTTTTGTGATACCAAAATGTTCGTTGGCTTTCATCAGTCGACCATAGTCCAAATTGTGGCGCACAGTTGTTCCTCGACTGTTGTCATCTTTGTGAACCTCATTGCAAAAATAGTTCCCTGCTTGTAACTCCCAAACATTTCCACGTAGGTTAGCATGTGTTACACCCTAACTCTTCAAATCTAGCTTTCGGAGGTTTCCTAGAGGTTCTTCCGTTGCTCATGACGCTCATTCTACCTGTTTCTCCTCCTCCTTCGCTCATTCTTCGTCCGTCAACTATCAACCTCATTATTATCTCTATCATTTACACATTATATCACCACTCATCACCTTAATAATTCAGAGGTTTGTAAAACGCCACTAAACGAACTCCAAGCCATA